TTGTTGTATGTGGTTCCGATTAATGAATAAAATAATTATCAAATACGTAATAGGTTTTGAAAAAGTTACCAAATAAGGTGGATTTTTATCATACAGTCTTTTGCTTCCATATCAATATGCAATAAAAAATAGAATCTAATAAAATAAATAAAAGGTACGGAGTATTAAAAAAGAGACTAAATACTACGTAATTGTTATATATGATGGATGACATGGCAAGATTATGTGACGCTTTGTATGCTCTTAAAAAAATTCTCTTTATGTGTGTGTGTACACACACACACACACACACACACACACACACACACACACACATATATATATAGGGGAGGGTTCAAATACAAAGAGGTCTTCCTATGCAAAGTGAGAATTAATCTCGTGCGTTCATTTTGAGATCTAATGGCTCAAAATGAGCCAAAAGTGAACTAATTTTGATCAAAAACGCGGTGGCAATTTCGTAATTAAAATGAAGTTTTTTGCCATCGCGAAAAAGTGCAACAGAAACACGCAAAAATGCAACACGGTGAAGAAAAAGTGCAATTATTCGCACTTTGCACGGGAGAACTTCTTTATATTTGATCTCTTCCCTATATATATATATATAGGGTGCGGTTCCGGTGATAACACTCCTTAAAGTGAGAAATGAGAACACTCCAAATCGATGCACTTTATCCTTCACAAAATTGCACATTTATAGTTAAAGTAATGCAAAATTCTAATGTGCACATTTACGTTTAAAATTTCGCACAAACGAAATGCACATTTTCCAATTTCCTATATTCACGTTTCTGTTTCACATGATGCACAATGCTCAAATCCAACGCTCCATAATCATTCTCATTTCTCTCCTAAGATGGTATTCTCATTTGATCCTTACCCTATATATATATATATATATATATATATATATATATATATAGAGAGAGAGAGAGAGAGAGAGAGAGAGAGAGAGAGATGGGTGATATCACATACAAACTAGTCCTCTCATGCTAACCTACAAACTGTCATCAACTGTGCATATTTACATTATTTGTATTGCATATTGAAGTTAAGAGAGTTGCATATTATTTGTATTGCATATTAAAGTTCAAATTGATGCATATTAATTGTAATGCATATTGAAGTTCACAATGTGCATATTTACGTAATTTGTACTGCATATTGAAGTTCAAAGTGTTGCATATTATTGAGTTTGTAGGTTAGTATTTTAAGCATGGTTTGTATTTGATCTCTTATATATATATATATATATATATATATATATATATATATATATATAGAGAGAGAGAGAGAGAGAGAGAGAGAGAGGAAAGTTCATGTCCGGAATTCCGGACAGGAACCGCCATCCGGACGGCGGCGTTTGGCCGCCTTCCCGGTGTAATTTTTTGATGAATTTTTTATGATATGTTCTTCATCAAGTCTAGTTTTTCAACAAAAAAAATCAGCTAAAAATTCAATCAGGAAGGTCGTCAAATGATTTTTACAAGTTAATTGTGGTTTATATGTATTTTCCGGCGCAGTTATCTTGTAAAAATCATTTCACGACCTTCCTGATTGAGTTTTTAACTGATTTTTTTGTGAATAAATTAGACATGATGAAGAACATGCCATAAAAATTTCATCAAAAAACTCCACCGGAAAGGTCCCCAAAAGCCGTCGTCCGGACGGCGGTTCCGATCAGGAATTCCTGACCGGAACACTACTCTGTGTGTGTGTGTATGTATTGATTACATGTCTCATATAGGCAGGTTATTCTCTTTCATTATATTACATGTGTTAGAATAATTCTTTTAATGACACTTTATCATCACGAATTTATCGAAAATCGTCATATCTGATCTCTGCAAGCGCATTTACGTTTAATTCAATCAACTTAACTGCAAACAGAAAAAAAATGAAAATTATTAACTTATATATGTGTGTGTGTGTGTAACTTTCCAAATAAAATCCCATGTTTATTTTAAAATAAAATAATTTTTTTATTTGTAATCTGATTGTTACATAAAATATATTAAATTTCATAACTTTTTATTATCTCTCATATGACACCAATATTGAATATACAAAAATAAAAATTAATTTAACACTTTAAAAACATATGTACTTTAAAGTGCTATGTTTTTTTATTTGTACTCTAATTGTTACAAAAATATATATAAAAATTTATAACTTTTTATGATCTCTCATATGACACCAATATTGTATATGTAAAAAAATATCCATTAATATGTCCGGTTTATAATATTGCATATAAATAGAATTGATTTTTATTATTTGTATATATGCAACATTGGTGTCATATGAAAACTAATAAAAGTTAGGAATTTGGAGTCACACAAACTTTACCAAATTTGGTATGAGACAATTTTAGTGGGATTTTTCCGAAAAGGTAAAATGGGACAATATTAGCGGTATGGAGAGAGTATTACATAATTCAGCGCGCAAAATCAAAATTCACGTGTTTGGTAAAAAAGTTGTTTGGTAAGCCGAAAAACATAGTCACCAAACGGGCTCTGTAATTTTAAAATTTTTAAAATAATATTTTGAGTAATTCTTTGGAGTACATATATGGTGTAGTGTGTGTGTCTATATATATATATATATATATATATATATATATATATATATATATATATATATATATATATATATATATATATATATATGTTTTGGTTCGAATAAGAACATGATCTTGGGAGAGAAATGAGAACGAATCTGGACCGTTAGATTTGCTTTAATTGAAATTCAATGTGCATTAGATGAAACTGTAATGTGCATTAAGTGAAATTGAAATGTGCACCACAAAGCGTATGATACAATGTCACTAAATGAAGCTGAATTGTGCATTAGGTGAAATTGAAATGTGCACTAGGTGAAACTGAAATGTGCAAAATAAAAGGTACGATGTGATGTTATTTTTGTACATTTTATTCCGCACATTTCAGTTTCACCAAATGCACAATTGAGTTTAAATTTTTATTCTGCACATTTCAGTATCATGTAATACACTTTTCAGTTTCATCAAATGCACATTTCCGTTCCACATAATACAATCCAACGGTCCAGATTCATTCTTATTTCTCTCCTGGGAGTCCGTTCTTACCGGAACCGCTCCATATATATATATATATATATATATATATATATATATATATATATATATATATATATATATATATATATATATAATAAGGATCAAATGAGAAGAGTGCTTATCGTAAGAAGTGAGAATGCATCTGGTGCGTTCATTTTAAGATCTGTGCATCAGATTAGCAAAAAAGTGCATGGAAAAGTGCAAAGAATATTAAAAAAGTGATGTTAGATGCGGTGGCATTTCCGTAATTAATCAGAACTTTTCTGCCATCGCAAAAAGTGCATCAGATTAGCAAAAAAAGTGCATCAGGAATAGGTAAATGTGTAACTTCTCACTTCTCACGTTAAGATGTCTTCTCATTAGAACCTGACCCTATATATATATATATATATATATATATATATATATATATATAGAGAGAGAGAGAGAGAGAGAGAGAGAGAGAGAGAGATTTTGGTTCAAATAAGAACATGATCTTATGAGAAAAATGAGAATGAATCTGGATCGTTAGATTTGCTTTATGTGAAATTCAATGTGCATTAGATGAAGTTTTCATGTGTAATAAGTGAAATTGAAATGTGCAACACAAAAGGTACGATGTTGTGGCATTATGTGAAGCTAAATTGTGCATTAGGTGAATTTGAAATGTGCATTAGATGAAACTAAAATGTGCAGAACAAAATGTACGATGTGATTTTATTTTTGTACGCCTTATTTTGCACATTTCAGTTTCACTTATTACACATGAAAACTTCATCTAATGCACATTGAATTTCACATAAAGCAAATCTAACGGTCGAGATTCATTCTCATTTTTCTCATAAGATCATGTTCTTATTTGAACCAACCCCCCCCTCTCTCTCTCTCTATACACACACACACACACACACACACACACACACACACACACACACACACACACACACACACATATATATATATATATATATATATATATATATATATATATATATATATATATATATATATATATATATATATATATATATATATATATATATATATATATATATATATATATATATATATATATATATATACCGGGTGTACACCATAGGCCCATCCGCCTACAACAGTTCCTCACGTTGGACACCATAGGCCCATCCGCCTACAACAGTTCCTCACGTTGGACACCATAGGCCCATCCGCCTACAACAGTTCTTCACTCTCCTCGCAAATTATATGCTACACCCGGGTGTACACGTACACCCGGTATTTTTGTAATTGTTTAGAAGATGAGCTACGTGGCTGGTCAACTACCCTGTTTGAATTTGGCATCATCATTATTTATTCCAAATTGAAGCTAAGTTGTGGCGCATGAGAAGAGAAGATGAATAGGCCGACACGAAGGAACTCCAAGGGTTTTGGCCCATCTGACGCGTGGAGTGCATGCTGGAGTGCTTTGATTTATGGGCAGGGTTGTTGGATTGCTTTGATTGGTTCATGGCCCAGCAGTTACTCACTTTTTGAAATGATTTTTATAATACATGATAGACTATAAGTATAGAGAGAAATGAGAGCTAGAGAGAGAAGTAGTATAATTGCTCTGTATTAATGAATTTGTGAACCCTTACAACTACTCCGAGAGGGAGTATTCACTACTACACAAAGGGGTTTTTACGTCGGTTATTTGACACCTTTAACGTCGGTTTTCTAACCGACGTGTAAGTAAGAGACGTAAAAGGTACGGACATTTGACGTCGGTTCACAAACCGACGTAATAAGTGTGCTTTAAAAAATGAATATAACCTACCACGTCGGTTACTCGAAAAAACCGACGTCGAATACAACCTCAAAAAATAAAAAAAAATACTTACTACGTCAATCGTCTCCCGGAACCGACGTTAAAGGAATTTTCACAAAAATAAAAAAATACATATTACGTCGGTTTTAAAATAAAACCGACGTTGTAAGTAGCTTTTTTAATAAAAAAAATATACATATCCACTGGGTTGGTTAATTCAATTAACCACCAGTGTATTATACAAGTACTTTGTTTCCAAAAAGGTAAGCATTCAGAATATCAAAATACATTCCACGAAACTAAATACAAAAAAAACATTTACAGATAAAGTAAATACTAACAAAAAATCTAATAAGATCAATATGCCTACGAAAAAGGCATTCAATACTAAACACAATTGAATGGGTTCTTCTTGAAGTCCGGCTGAAATCCCTCATGTTATATCTCTGCAACGAAATACACTTCTTATATCGCCGAAAATGGTTCTTGAAGACCTGCAAAAAATATACTGCGTAAAATATATAAGCAAGTTTTAGAGAAAAAACAAAAAATTATACACCACACCTGCTTTCCAATAATATCACCACACACCTATCTCAAAGGCTGAAATAAACTGAGCATTTCATGTAATGTCGCAAACTTTATTACGAAGAAATCATGAGATAAAAGGTTAAAGGTCAACTGCCCTTAGCAAATTAACAATTGGCATATTCATAAATTGCAGGAACAAAGAGAAAGAAGACAAACCTTAGGATCATTTGTTGTTGCAAATGGTAAGCCAGTGATCACCACAGCTCTACCAGCATGGTCAGCAAAATATAATCCTTCACTCACCTATTCCATATTTATGTGAGCATAAAAGGTGATTGTAGAATGTAGAGGGGAATATTCCGAAAAGTAAAGGGCAGTCATGTCCACATTGGTGTCCTGCAAAGCAAGGGGGAAGGGAAGGGTCCCATAACAAGAGTGTATAGGAGGCAAGCCTTCCATTGTCATTTTGACAAGAGACCGCTCCCAAGAATTGAACTTGTGAGTTGTGACCTCTCAATCACACAGCAGAACCTTTACCAGTGCACCATAATCATGCTAAATAATCACGCTCTAAAATTAGTAGTTCCAGAGATACATTAGCATTTTGAAATTCAAATAAGTTTTCAAACAATTTGCCATAAGTGACTTATCCAGTTAAAAACTCAAAATCAAGTTGTATGGTATATTGGTATATGTACCTTTCCATGGCAGACTGCAAAAAACACTGCTCCAGAACCTGATTTATCCTACAACGTAGACATATAGTCCTTTATAAAAGAAGAAGAATCAAAGTAACATCACCATTATGGGTCAACAATGATATAATAACTTAATCAAGGTTATATTTTGGTTACTTCAATTGCTGAAGGAAAGAGAGCAGATTGTCTTGGTTCCACAACAGGTAGCTTGTGTTTGCATATTCTTTCCCAAATTGTACTAGAACTTGTGTGGTTTCGGTTATCCTATACAGTATCTGGCAATGTAAACCAGAGAAGCACCAAAAATAAAAAAAATAAACATCATTATTTGCATATATGTGATAGTACTTTACCATTGATTTCCAGCACCCAACACATTGGTCCAAGAAACAGTGTGATGCAAAGAACACAAGAAGTCCATCTGGTACGATTCGAGCAAAGTTGACTGGACCACAAAAGTTCAATAAGCAATAACTCTGTCAAATACAATCTCTAACACACTCTACTCTTTAAAGGTTGGTTGGGATGGACTATGGAGGGGAATGCTTAGTCCAAATTTTGATAAATAGAATCTCTCTTAAAACAAAGAGTAATTGGAATGTTAAATGATCAGCGCTATGTTACTCCATCAAATTTTATAAACTGATAAACATATACCAAGATACACACTTCTACCCCGTCGACAACCCTCGGAAAACCTCCATCCAAGCTGACCCTAAAAGATCATGCATGGATGTCTAGAATCCAGATAGACACATTACAGCTCGGTTTGAGAGGTGGCAAATTGTCAAATCGATATAATAAAAATGTGTAAGGCACCATAAAGTCATAAACCATTAATAGGCAGACATACCAATGGCATTGCCAAGATCTATCTTGTATTGAATAGAATTACGACTTCGATAAGAAGAGTTGAAAGGGTAACCAGATGGGCCAACAGGTACAACCCCTGCCCATATTTGATCTTCTGGTATGACATGAGGGTTTTCCAAACGAATAGGGAATTCTCTGCAAATGTTGGAAGTAATAACTTGTAAGAAAATCAATTATGACAAAACCACAATGTAAGAAAATAGTAAGAACAGTGTATAAGATACTTACAACTTTAATTCATTAGGAATGAATCCAATGGAGACAGTGTGCCTGATGTCAATATAATAGATCCAATACCCCATTTGGAGAACTCTTCCATGGCAATTCCTGGATTGAAGCATCACCAACTTAACATTCTAGATGCCTTATCTGCAGCAAAGGAATCAAATGAATTACCAAATGGATCGGAGTACAACATTCATCAATTAAAGAGGCTAGACTAATTCCATTGAATGAAAAAACAAATCTGGATAATAAAAATAAATATCAAAATGCAGTGAAAAGATTATGAAATTCAACACACAAGATAAACACACAAACCAGAGTTTCAAAATTACAGAAAACAAGCTTGAAATCCAAAGGTATGAATAATAAAAAGAAAGATCAAAATGCAGTGAAAAGTGGAAGAAATTCAACACACAAGATAAACACACAAACCAGAGTTGATAGCATTGAGACTCTGATGGACAAATTCAACTCACTCTCGTTTAATTTATAGCAACCCATTCCAGAATTACAGATTCAAGTGGATGGAGAAATTGAGAATAGGAGAGAACTTACCAGGTTCCGCAGAGAAACCAGAGTCGAGCACGAGGTAGATGAAGTTATGGCGAATTAGAGCAGAGCAGCGGCCAATTATCCATCGAGCAAGAGGTAGACGAAGCTCGCGGATGGTTTGGCGGATGAAGTCGCGGAGGTACACGAAGCTCACGGAGGGTTCGGCGGATGAAGTCGTGGAGGTAGACGAAGCTCGCCGAGGGTTTGGCGGACGAAGTCGCGGAGGTAGACGAAGCTCGCCGAGGGTTTGGCGGACGAAGTCGCTGAGGTAGATGAAGCGAAGGGTTTGGGGCTTCTGTGAGGTGCTGGAACGGTTTCTAATTTACTTCGTAAAGGGCTGCAGGGACGGTTTCTAATTTATTAGTACGGAGTATATTTTTCAAAGTTGGTTCTTTGCAAACCGACATTACAAGTATACATATAAAACTAAAAAAATTGCACCCACATTTTTTTCAAAGTGTGCAACGTCGGTTCTTTGGGAAACCGTCTTAAAATAGTTCCTGGGTCCCCTACTACGTCGGTTTTTAAAGAACCGTCGTTAAAGGTGTGACGTTATATGTCATTCTTGTAGTAGTGATTTATAGGAAAAATTAGGGCTGGGCTCCCAAGTCTTGGGCTTGGGAGGCCCATCCACAACAGGGCCACTAATGGACCGGATACAAAGTACATAGAAAAGATTAAGTGTAAATCCTGTTCTAGAGACTGTCTATGGCCGACGAGGGCATGGTCGACGAGGGCATGGCCGATGAAGACCCGGCCGACGAGGTCACCCGGCTCTTCCCGGCTTCTGGATCACATTTTGAGTAGACTTCTTTCTGGCCAATGAGGGCCATCTGGACGACGAGGGTCCCACCAGGTGGTCGTGGTACCTTCCGTTCTCCTGAGTATGGGGGCCCTGGGGTCCAGGTCCATATACTCCATCAGGAGTCCCCCACTCTCTAAGCTGAGATGTAGACGAAGTGAGGGAGAGTAGATTTTCTGTCTTTGACGTTTTCTGGCCGTCGTGGGACCGCTATGGGGTTTTCCCTGTTTTGGCCGTTATCAGCACCCCTTGCTCTGGTTTTCCGTTCTGCGCCGTTACGTGCACTCCGCGTTTTCATTCGTTGCGTGGCCTTTGGTGTGGACGAAGAGTGTCATTTTGTTTGGTGGAGATGGTGGGTGTTCCCTTGCGTGAGTGGCCGATGAAGACGATGTTTCTCTACTCTTGGCCGTTGATGGTTGAACTTTGTACTCATGGCCCAGGAGACCATTGTGGTCATTTCCTATTCGAGGACGATGAGTGTCCTTCTTCCTCTGGGTAACCGGTGAGGGTGCTGTTTGCTTTATTTGGCCGTTGTGGCTCTCATTCCGTGTCTTTGGCTGAGGAGTGATGGTATTCGCAGCTTGGTGTCCATGTTTTGAGGACGATGAGTTCCTGGCTTAGTTCCTGGCTGAGAGTGGAGTATGCGGGTTCTAAGCCGTTGAGTGCCCTGTGATCTTTGGAGGGAATTCTCTGTTTGCTGACGATAGCTGCGGCCGATGGTGCACCGCAGGGTTATGGACGCTATGGTGCATATGTGATCTGATGTTGTAGTTGTGGACTTAGCATATTTTTGGATTTCTTTGATTTTGTCCTGATTTTCAAAGGCCGGTGTAGTCCCCCAGTCCCCCACTACTTCAGGCCGAAGAGTAAGCGAGGGGTGAAGGAGTAAAGGATTGCCCTAGGCCGAAGCGGATTCTTGCATTCCCCTGAATCCAATTCCTTGGCGATTTCCTGACCAAGGTAACCCTGTGGGAGAACCCTTGGACGCAGGTCGCTTTCAAGAAATTATCATCAGGGTTTTACACAAGACCGATGGCGTGGGGTTTCTTTTTGCTTTGCCGTTGTGGCCGTTGAAAAGGCCATGTTGTTGGCATTCTGTTTAAGCCGATATGGACACACCTTGATATGTGACTTACCCTTTTGAATTCATCTTTGTGTTGAGGCTGATGTAGGAGCGCTTTCTTAGCGTGGCCGTTGAGTGGTTGGCCGTTGCGGGCGCTGATTGCTGGTATGTTGGCGATGGGTTCGTACTCTGGAAGTGGGCCTGACCCGCCTCCTGAATCGGTACCAGCCCAATGGGCCTTGGGGGGGGTGGCCGTTCATGTGGCCAACGGGAGGGTGCTACGTGTAGTGACCGTTGGGGGGGGAGGTCTATAAATACCCCCTCCCTCCGAAGAGGCTCCTCATTGCATTCCTGAGATAACGAAGTGCTGCCAAATTTTCTAGAGAGAGAGAGCCTTTCCGTGTGTTCTTCTGTTTTTCAAAACTTCAAAGGTCAGTTCATTGAACTTTTCTTCACTTCCTTGCATACTTTGCTTCTTTTAGTCTCTGATCCGCTGTTAGTGGAGAACCACCCTTAGATCCAAAGTAAAACCCTCTAGGCTCTAGTTAGTTGTTATGATGAAGTCTTTGGACGACGAGTACTACCCTTATGACGATGAGCCCTCCGTTAAATCCCTTGACTACTGGGTAGTAGAGGAGTGTTGTGAGGAGATAGAGGAGCTGAGCTCCTTCAAATCAGGGGAGCATGAGGGTAGCGAAGGTGAGGACGAAAAGGCCGCCTCGTCATCTGACGGTGAGGACGTAGTGGTCTCCCGTGCTGTGGACGGAGCATCCACCTCAGCTGCAATTCCCTGCCCAAAACCGGTTTCTGTTGTGAAGGGGGCTGCCCCGACGAGAAGGCGTCGGCTGAAGAAGGGTCCAGGTTACTCCTACCTGGACCTCACGAACATTTATCTGATCAAGCCGGAGAGCAGCGCGGCCGATTACCTGGTGGCCTAGATGTATGTGGGGCCGTATGGGAGGGTTAGGGCGCCCAGGCCGACGGATCATGTGTTGAATCTACCTCCGGGGTATTTTGGAGTATACCCCATGAGTTTTGCAAAGGGGCTTAGGTTTCCCCTCCATCCGTTCATTACGGAGTACTTGGACATGGTGGGTCTCCCTCCGACCCTGTCGACTCCGAACAGCTATTCCCTCATCGTCGGCTTTCTCCTCCCCTGCAATGAGCTAGACTTCAGACCGACGACGACTTTGTTCATGAACTTATATCAGATAGGCCAGGGTAGCCACAAGAATTGTACCGGCTATGCCAACCTTCAACAGCTGCCAACGAAGAGGAGTTTTACTGACCTTCCTTCGTCCATTCACTGCTGGAAGAGTAAGTTTGTCTTTGTATCGTTGGGCGAGGGTGGCACCGAATTCCCCTCCGTCGGCCATGACGGGAGATTTAGCCTCCACGATGTGCTGAAGAGTGGCATTTTGGATGCCCAGGTGGCGGCATTCTTGAAAGGAGGGCTGAGGAGCGTGAAAGAGTACATAACGGAGTATAAGATGACCGCCCTCGGCTTCATTTGGTACTATGTGTACGGCGGCAAGGAGAGCAACACGGAGATGTGGCCGAGGATGACCACTACGTTTGAGGAGGCCGATGGCCCAGATTTGGGTGTGCCCGCTGATGCTGATGGTAATACCCTCCCTGGCGTCTTCGTCTATATTTGCTTTTGTCTTTTGCTAACTGTCCTCTTTTGTTTTCCTTGATGTGCGGACTTCGTAATGGATCGCAGATCCGTCATGGCCCTTGCAAAAGCAAAGGCGAAGGAGGAGATGGCGGCCAAGGAGGCCGCAAAGCTGGCGGCTGGGAGTGGCACGCAGCCAAGCTCGGACGCGATGAAGAAGCCGCCCACGCAACCGAAGAAAAAACGGTCAGCGGATGACGGCCAAAGAAAGCTGACTGAGGCTGGTATGCAGCCCAAGAAGATGAAGAGGGCTTCTCCTTCGGCTGAAGCTGAAGCCGGGGTTGCCACCGTGCTGGCCGATGATGCTGGGGGTTCCAGCCGACTACTATGTCCCAGCCGCTTCTCGACTACTATGTCTCAGCCGCTTCCTGCCGACCAGGATTCCCGGAAGAGGAGAGCCGGAAAAGAGTTAGTCGTTGGCCTATCGCCGGGTGGCGGCCGACACAGATGATGCTCTAAGAGCCAAGGATGAGGCGCTGAAGAGCCGCGATGAGGCCCTGCTCCGAGTCGAGGATGCCGCGAAAGCCCAAGCTGACACCGAAAGGGCCGCTGAGAAAGCTGTTGACAGCGCCATTGAGAAATTCCTGGCCGAAGGCTGGAAGGCTGAAGACCGTCGGCCCTGGTGCTATGAGGTAGTGGTGGATCGTCTTGAAGACTGGGGCCAGAACTGCCCTGCTGGCCAAGAATTCTTTTCAAGGGAGATGTCCATTTATTATGACATGGGCCAGCAGAGGATCCAACGGCTGATCTACCGGAGGCTGCACCGGGCTTTTAAGAAGTTGAAGCTTACCCAGAAATGGGTCAAGAAGAACTTGAAGCTTCCCAGGCTGATGAAGGACCCGGAGGCCGAAGCAAAGCTCCCCCCCCCCCTCTGAGAGGCAGGACCCGATACTTAGCTCCTCAATCGGTGAGCTGGATTGGTCCGATGATGACGCCTTAGCCGACACCGCTGTCTCCTCAGCAGCGGGGGCCAGTGGAGATGTGAGGGCGGAAGAGGGCACTGAAGTTGCTTTTGAGCAAGCCGATGTGGGGTTGGTTGCTGATGAAGTCGCCCCAGAGAAATGATCGGCTGACTTTTCTTTTTTGTGTAGTTCAGTAGTTTCCTTTTTTTTTGTAATGGTCGTTGTGCCCCCCTTATGCAATGAATTTCAAATGAATGAAAATAGCCATTGCTTCCGGCCTTATAGTATGATGTCCTCCTCGTCTTGCTTTTCCCTTTTTGCTCTTATTGTTCAAGTATTACAAAATTTCTCCAAGTGTTTAAGTCATGACTTGGATAATTGTTCTCTTTGGTTGTTTCCTCTGGCTGCGGCCGAAACAGGTAACTTAGGTGAGGATGTTTCGTTTATAAGGAGCGCCCCTTGCTTTTAGCAGGACTTTAGAATTTCTTCTAAATGTCAGACTTCAAGTGATTGAGTGTCTGCTTCGTCTTGGCGTTACCCCTTTTCCTTTGTTCACACTTTAGAAATTTTTTCTAAGTGTCAAACTAAGTAGTTCCTTTAGTTCGGGGGCCTTCGCCGGCCAAGACTGCCAGCGTGGATAACTTCCTACGCCGAGGTGTTTTCATCGGCATGTGTACTTTTCCGGCCACCGTGTATTCTTCGTCTTGTGTCATTCCTCATTCCTTTTTGTTTTACTTGTAATTTTTCTAAGTGTTCCAACAAGAACTCATAAGCCCGATTCCTTTAGTCGTAGCCAATGAAGGGGCATGTCCTTTGCTCGGTTGAGGGGGAATGTCTGCTTCATCTTTGTGATGTTTGACGTCACACTTTTGTGGAATTCTCTAAGTGTCTAGCTTAGAAGATTTTGAAAATCGTTCTAAGTGTTGGACAGACTTAGGTGATTACTTCCTTCACGGGTGGCCGATGAAGGCTTACCACTGGGGTTGTTCGATGCCGGCTATATGTGTGCCCTTATCGGCCACGAGAGTTTGCCTTGGTATTTTTTGTCCAAGTTTTTCCCTTCTCTTTTTTTTGAGCACTTTCGTCTGTAATGCGTAATATTTGCCTGATATGTACTTAGACAATTTTGGGGATTTTATTTTTATCGCTCGAGGTCGGCGAGTGCACAGCTCATCAGCTTCCCTCTTTTATTTTTGGGGATATCGCTTTAGGCCGGCAAGTGCGCGGTCCTTTGGTTGTCCCTCTTATTTTTGGGGATATCGCTTTAGGCCGGCAAGTGCGCGGACCTTCGACTGTCCCTCTTTTGTTTTTGGGGATATCGCTCCAGGCCGGCAAGTGCACGGTCCTTCGGTTGTCCCTCTTTTGTTTTTGGGGATATCGCTTCAGGCCGGCAAGTGCGCGGTCCTTCGGCTGTCGCTCTTTTGTTTTTGGGGATATCTCTCCAGGCCGGCAAGTGCGCGGTCCTTCGACTGTCCCTCTTTTTTCTTTCTCTTTACTCTTTTGAGCGAGGGGTGGGTATCCTTCTTTCAGGCTTCGGCCAAGGGGGTCGATAGTCCCTCGGCGGGTAAGGAGTCCTACTGGATCATCCTATGATCTCAAGGAGGTCACGTCGCCTATTTATGATGCGGGCTAAGGCGTTTGCTCGGTTACCGACGACTGCCGTTTCTCATCTCTGAGTTTGGGGATTTTTGTCACCTCAGCCATGATTTCAGACATGTCGTCCTGCTGATTTCGCGGATAGACGACGCGGTGAGCTTCCCATTTCAAGACGTGGGCTCTTTACGGGCCCTTCGTCCTGGGGACACCGTCGACCTTTCCTAAGCATTTTCGGTTTGAGGTGTCACGCCCCGGACCTATCCGGACACGTCAACAATCCGTCGTACAATATGAATAGTCAACCGCAGTCCAACTCATCCATATTATACAAGGCGTCTCGAATATCATTCACACATAAGTCATCCATAAACATACATAATAAGTAATTGAATACGCAGCGGAAATCATAGTTTGGATACAAGTGCCACACGGGGCCAACACGAGCACGCAGGCTCCACAATGAAAAAACAATATCCATGAGCATGTTTTAAAATGTTTAAAATCAGAATGGAGGAAGCACGAACCAAGTCTTCCCCTCCGAGATGATCGCCCGATCAACAAGCACAGGTAGCAAGCTCTAACCTCAACCTAAAATGGTGGTGGGACGCCCCCCGAAAGGGGGTCAGTACTCTATACGGCTATAAAGTACTGGTGTGGATGGCATCTAATAGATATACAACAAGTATTTCAAACACAAGACCCTCAAATAGGGTGATAATATAATTCTAGGTCGTAACCCCAAGTTACCCCTTTTTAAAATATACTTACTTTATATATAAAGTCAAGTAGTCGGTCCATGGCCCAAAAGTTCGTTTTCAAAACATAAACCAAACCCCGTGACCCCTAGTCACGACAATACGTAGGGTTCAACCCTAACACACATGTTTGCATTTCTCGAGTCCAACTCGACTACATCACCATGCATATCAATCACAAGTCAATTACTCCACCAATCTCCAACGTCATGTTCACCCATGCAATTCTAGAGCTCGGCTCAAGTACATCTCCTTACATGGGCTGAACCTAATCCTTATGTCTACCCCATGCAATTCTAGAGCATCGGGCTCAAGTACATCTCCTTACATTGGCATAGACCCCAATTCCTAAGCACTCACTATGCCTAGAATTGTAATATCAATAATCTATTTCGGGACATCCTTACGGACTGCCTTATCATGATCTTAGCATCACAGTACAACAATTTACTCACTTGAACCACAATCAAGTATATCACTTACAATCAAATCCTTAGATTCAATTTCTTAACAATTACAAACAATCATTAACTAGTATTCCAATACTATTAAGATTATTCCCATCAATCATATGTTTCATTTGTAAATCCCTACATATTTAGAAATATGTAGCAGTAACTTTGTCATCCAATGTAATACACAAATAATCATTTATGTATCTACACCATTCACACATGAGTAAAAAATGCCTATTTCACACAATAGTTCATTTAACTCCATTTTTATCAATATGATTTCCAAATCATTTGCAATTTCATTACTCATCTAATATATCAATATTTCATCAATAATCAGTCATTATAATCCATGGAAAACATGATTTAGGCATTTAGGTAATCTCATGCTTAACCTACAAGTTGTAAGCAACTAGATGTCGATCCTCACCTTAAATGAGCTTTAAATTTCTCCTTCTTGATCCAACGGTCAAAGCTTCGGACAAGGTGGATTAAGAACTGATTCCTTGCTTAAAAATAGGTGTTAAACAGCCTCTTCAATGTGCTTGTTCAACTCCTAGCCGAAGACACGAAAACAGCCCCTAGAACGGGTGTTTTCCGGCGAATTCGCTCCCTAACCTTTCAAGGTTTTGTCTAGGTTAGTATCTAACCTTTCCAACAAATAAGGTACTCTTATAATAATATTTTATACACTTTAAATAGTGTATAATAGTTAAACCAATCATTCATAGGATTTAGGCAATGGAAAGGGAGGTTTTGGATTCAAACTTACTTTGAATACCACAAACGTATTCTGCGAGGTTTCGTTGTGTTAGGACGATTTGGAAGCCTTAAGATACTCCGTTTTCTTCACACCGCACGCCTATGGATTCCTCTTTTTGAGAGGTTTCCGTGGGTACCTCACACGCCTCTTTTGGATTAGCAGAACTCGAGATATGAGTCGCACAAGAAGGCCAACGCACTGGAAATTCCCCCTGCGACCAGCTCCCCAATTTCCTCTCTTCTTGGGTTGTGCGGCTCCCCTCTCCTCCTTATCTATTTTAGTTCGAATGGGGGTGAGGGAGAGGTTCTTAGAAGCTCTAAATGTGATCTGAATGAGTGGTTCTAAAAAAAGGAAGGGTAGGGTATTCGATCCCAACCAAACATGGGATGATCCTCCTCTTTTATTTCTCTTTTGTATTGTTTGAGCTCTTAACTCAATAGGTCCGCCCCATTTATGAGTTCCAACTTATTCTACTTGTTTTGCAGGTTCTAGGAAGGTGTGGGGCGTACTCTCATGTCCCCTAATTAATTTGGGAGCAAAATATCTACCAATACATTCAAAAGTGGAAAGATGGGTCCTATCATTTTTGTCTTTTGTCCTAAGATGTACTTTTGTACTCTCCCCAATTTATTCAGATCAAGTTAACCTCCTACATCGTATTATTGGTCTCTAATATGTGTAGTGTGGTCCCAATAATTTATTTGATGTACAATTGCAAAAGAAAACCCTACTCCCATTATTTAGCCTAATAATGCCAAAGATGGGACCATAGGCATTTGTATTCTTCTCAAATCATTCTGTCATTCATTTATGATGTTAATATATATATAAATATATATATATCTGGGCTACCAATCGTGTGGGTCACCCTCCAATGGGTCTAGGATGCCATTCTTGAATAATTACTATTTTTAGCAGGTTAGGCGCAAAATAACATTTGGGCTGCCCGACCGCTCTTACATTGTACCGATGGGCTGTATATCTTATTTAAGGATGTTGGGCCCCAATATCAATGATATGACCCAATTAATTATTTAGAAGCCCGTTACCATTGTATGAGTCCAAATAGAAATATGATAAATCATACGTTCCGTAAAACTTTAATCGTTTTACCATTGTTCGAAAATAGGAGAACTCAATACATAAGCTTTGAAATTGAATTTGAATTTCTAGGGCGTTCAGGTGCGGTGTCACATGAGGGGCCGGAACGATGTGCTCTGTTGACCTTTCCTGAGCATCTTCGCTCTGAGGGGTCAGTGTAGTATCATTTCCCTGAACTTTTTGGAAAAGTAAGAAACAACTTTTATTCATAAGTGGATCGAGGCCGAGGGTGGCGTTCGACCAACAATCAGTGGGAAGGTGAGGGCTTTGCCAGCTGCGCCGTCCCCAGATTATTGATAGAATTTTACCAAGTGATGTACATTCCACGTTCGTGGTACATTAGACCCATTTGGGTGTTTTAGTTTGTAGGTGTCGGGCTTGACCACGGCACTAACGATGTAGGGGCCTTCATACTTGAGTGCCAGCTTGCCACCTTCCGTCGGCTTGCTCGCCTCTCTTTGGCGAAGGACATAGTCCCCCACCTGGAATTCCCGGGACCGTACCTTGGCGTCATAGTATGATTTTACTTGACGCCGGTAGTTCTCTGCCCGGATGAAGGCCTGCTCTCGTCTCTCTTCGATCAGGTGGAGATCAACCTTCATGTTTTCTTCATCGGCCTCAGGCTCATAGTGTTCCACCTGTCGGCTGGGTGTAGTGACCTCTGTGGGCGCCTTTGCTTCAAAGCCATAGCAAATGGCAAAGGGTGTCTCGCCTGTTGCCCTCCTCGGCATAGTACGGTAGCACCACAGAATATTGGGGAGCTCATTGGCCCAACTGCCCCCTGCGTCCTGGAGCTTCTTCTTCAGGCCCTCCAGGATGGTTCTGTTGGCGTTCTCGACCTGCCCGTTGCCTTGAGGATAGGCAACGGAGGAGAAACGATGCTTGATTCCCCACTCCTGGAGGAGCTCTTGAAAGGGCGCGACCTCGAACTGGGTACCGTTGTCGGATATGATCTCATGAGGGACGCTGAAGCGGGTGAGGATGTTTGTGTGGACGAATCTCTTACACATGGCCCCTGTGATGCTGGCCAAAGGTTCCGCCTCAACCCATTTGGTGAAGTAGTCTATGGCGACGATGATGTAGCGGTTGTTGCCAGCGGCTCTGGGCAGGGGGCCGACCAGGTCAATACCCCATCTTGAGAATGGGATCGCCGTGCTGACCGGGGCGTAGTTGACGGCTGGCCGACCAGTGGCTTTCTGAAGGACCTGGCATGCGGTACATTTCCTTGCAAGATTGGCACAATCCCGCCATAAATAGCCCTGGACGTCGAGACGTCGGGACATGCTGAAGGGGCCCTGGTGAGAGGAGCAGACGCCGCAATGGACTTCCTCCATGGCCACTTCGGTCTCATCTAGGTGCAGGCATCGAAGGAGAGTGCTGTTGTAAGATCTTTTATAAAGTTTCCCATCCTCAATGGTGTAGCTCGGGGCCCTGAGTTTGGCTAGCTTGGCTCTCTCCTCGTCCTGGGGCAATTCTCCCGAGGTGATGAAAGTCACGATGTCGATAATCCAGTCCTCCGGCCGCTGTTGGATGCACGTGACCGGGCTGGCATGGATGATGGACATGCTCAGCTCTTCGACCTTGGCTATCTTGGAGATGTGCTCTGGAGTGTCTGTGCTTAGCTTGGAGAGGATGTCGACCTCAGCATTCTCCGCCCTTGGGATCTGGGTGATCTCATGGGTTTCGAACGCCTTGAGCAACTCCTCGGCCGCCTGTCTGTATTGCCTCATCCTCCCCTCTTTAGCCTTGTATGAGCCCTCGATCTGGCCCACCACTAGCTTGGAGTCGCACCTGATTCTGATGTGACGTGCTTTGAGGCCGGCGGCGAGTCTGAGGCCGCTGAGGAGGGCCTCATACTCGGCTTCATTGTTGGATACCCTGAAGTTGAAGCGGATGGCATAGTAGGCTCTGAACCCTTCAGGGGAAATGAGGACGCCGCCTCCACCACAAGCTTTGGTGGCCGACGAATCGTCAGTAAAGAGAGTCCATGCTTCGTCTGGCTCTGGCCCTGGTGTGGTAGCGGCCGTCTCCCTAGTTGTGCACTCGGTGACGAAATCGGCTAAGGCATGCCCCTTAATGGATGGCCTCGGCTTAATCTCGATCTGGAACTGGCTGAGGAAGATCGCCCATTTCACCATCCGTGAGGAACTGGTGGGGCTCCGCATAAGTGCGCCGAGGGGTTGCTGAGTTAAGATGTGGACGGCGTGGGCCTGGAAGTAGTGCCCTATTTTTTCACTGTATGGACGATGGCCAGCACTGTCTTCTCAATGGAGGAGTGCCTGAGCTCGGCCTCCCGCAACGTCTTGCTTATGTAGAAGATTGCCTTCTTTACCCCCTCGTCCTCGCGGATGAGTACGGAGCTAACGACCGATGTGCTCACCCCCAAGTACAGGAAGAGGGTTTCACCGGCTTTAGGTTTGGAAAGCACGAGAGGGGATGATAAGTACCGCTTCAGTTCCTCAAATGCTTGTTGGCACTCCGTCGTCCATTTGAAGCCATTTGCCTTGCGCATGATCTGAAAGAAAGGGAGAGACCTTTCAGTCGATTTTGAGAGGAAACGGTTCAGGGCCGCAAGGCGTCCCGTCAGCCGTTGTACCTCCTTCACATTCCGTGGTGGCTCCATGTTGACAATACCCTGTATTTTCTCTGGGTTGATCTCAATGCCCCTTCGGCTGACCATGTAACCGAGGAACTTGCCCCCCTGGACGCCGAAGGTGCACTTCTTCGGATTTAGGCGGAGCTGAAACTTCTTCATTATCTCAAAAATTTCCCAGAGGTCATCAGCGTGGCTAATAGATTGCTTGCTCTTGACGATCATGTTGTCGACGTATGCCTCCATCGTTCAGCCGAGGACTGCTCTGAAGACCTTGGCTACCATTCTGGTGTATGCGGCGCCTGAGTTCTTGAGCCCAAAGGCCATGACGAGGTAGCAGAAAATTCCCCCCGGGGTCGTGAAGGCCGTCTTCTCAGCATCATCCTCATGCATGAATATCTGGTGGTACCCCCTGAAGGCGTCAAGGAACGACATCAACTCGCACCCCGCCATCTCGTCCACCAATTGATCAATGTTGGGGTGAGGGAACGGGTCCATAGGGCATGCCTTGTTCAGGTCAGTGTAATCAACGCACATTCTGAACGTCGGCGGCTTCTGGGCGAGGACGACGTTGGCCAACCAGGGCGGGTACTTCACCTCTTTGATGTGGTTGATTGAGAGGAGCATGGTAACCTCCTCTTTGACAAAGTCACGTCTGTCGGCCGAGAGGTAGCGCCGCTTCTGCTTGATCGGCGTGGAGGCGGGGTCGATTGACAACCGGTGAGTGATCACTCTTCGGTTGATGCCCGGCATGTCATCCGACCCCATGCAAAAATGACCGCATATGTCCGCAGGACGTTGAGGATGCCTTTGCGTTGGTCCTGTGGGAGTTGTTTCCCGATTTTCAGGACCCGCTTCGGCCGGGAGGTATCCAGGGGGACCTCCTTTACCTCTTCGGCTGGCTCGGCGTGCGGCCTTTCTTCGTCTTTGGAGACAGCGGCTGTGATGGTGTCTATTTTCTGCCCGGCGCTGGCTGCCGGCTTTGTCAGTTTCAGGTAGCATGCCCGGGCTATCTTCTGGTTCCATCGGGCGTAGCCGATACCGCCGCTAGTAGGGAACTTCAGGCATAGATATTTCATGGAGATGATGGCTTCCAAATCCTCTAGTGCTGACCGCCCCCATATCAAGTTGTGGGCGCACTCGAGGTTGACCACCATGAATTCCATGTCGATATTGATGTGATGGGAGCCGTCGCCGACCTCCACGGGAAGGACTATCGTGCCCTCGGCGTCGATAGAGTCCCCGGTGAAGCCGGGCAATGGTGTCCGTATCGGCTTGAGCAACGCTCTGTCCAGCTTTAGCTGCCTTAAGGTGTCAAGGTACATGACGTTGACGGAGCTACCCATGTCGATGTAGGTGCGGTGGATGATAGAGTCACTTATTTCGCACCGGATGACAAGGGCGTCCCTGTGTGAGGCGGGCCCCGGAGGCAGATCCTTGTCGGTGAAGGTGATCGCCTCCGCCCGTTGTTTCTTCGGATGGGGGGAGCGTTGGACACCTCCCCAATGTAAAGGGATTGGGCCCATTTCTCCCTCTAGGTGGCCGAATCCCCTTAGTGTTACCCCCACAAT